CTCCATTCTTTCATCACCCATCTAACTTCAATCCAACATATTTAACGATTTTTTTCTTGATCATCCATGAAATTAAGTGGAATGCTAGGTATTGAAAAATTCATATCAAACAAGGTAAGTATTTAATGATCTTTTATCCATAGATGTTTGTTATTAATTGTTATGTCCACAACTATTATCTTCTTATTTTGATAGGTAAGAATAGTAGTCATTTCTTAAAGATAAGATTTTTAATTATTTGTGCTTAGGTATAATCAGCACAGATGAAAAAAAGGAAAACAGGTTCTTGTAGACTTAAATAGTGATATAACAGATGACATATTGCATGATTTTGAAAATGATGAATATTAGGACATGGACTTCCATCAGGAAAGCAAGGATAAGTTAACATCCAATGAAGCCATTGCAATGAGGGAAGAATTAGCATCTACAGAAGTCCTTGCAATGACATTTATATCACATGAAGATGCCGGACAATTTTATAACACATATGGTAGATATACGGGTTTCAATGTTCGTAAGGATGACCTAAAGCATCACAAGAACAACACGCTAATTTCAAGATAGTGGGTTTGTTCGAGAGAATGGTGTCAGTTCGCAAAGAATGCAGAACGTGTAGAGCAATCAAGGGAACCATGAGGGTTAACACGGCTTGGATGCAAGGCAACATTTCGAGTGAAGTTTGATAGGAATACACAAGAATGGGTTGTAAAAGAGTTTGTTATGGACCACAACCATGAATTGATTCCACAACGTGGTGTTCCATTTCTCCGATTACACAGGCGTGTCAAGAGCCCCGACAGAGCACAAGCTATATCATTACACAATGTTGGTATGCGTACAAGTCATATTAGAGATTTCATGTTGCAACAATTTGGAGGATATCAAAATGTTGGGTTTACCATAAAGGATCTCTACAATGACATGACATCCTACCGTAGAGAAGAGTTGAGAGACAATGATGTAGAGAGCGCATTAGCCTACTTGAGCGATAAGAAAGAGTTGGACCCGCAATTCTATTTCAAATATTCTGTCACCGAAGACAATTCGTTGAATTGATTGTTTTGGACTGATTTGACATCTCGACTAGATTACAATTGCTTTGGTGAGGTGATGACGTTTGATACTACAAATCAAATGAATGCATTTAATAAGTCTTTTGTGCTATTTGTCGGTGTTAACCACCACAATGCTACAACTATATTTGGGTGCACATTACTTTCAGACGAGATGATTGATACATATGTGTGGGTATTGAATACCTTTCTTCATGCAATGGAAAACAAGATGTATATATATATATATATATATATATATATATATATATATATATTTTAATGCTGAAAATTTTGTCAACGCATGCAAGAGGTGCATGTATGCTCGATGTACTCCAGAAGAATTTGAAAATGAGTGAAAATCAATGGTCAAATTATTTGGACTAGAGACAAACAATTGGATAGCAGAAGTTTATGCAAAGCGATTCAAATGGGCCAAAGCGTACTTGCGAGAAATTTTTTTTGTCAAATTAAAAAGCACGCAATGATCGGAGAGTATAAATGCCTACCTGAAACGCTTTCTAAAACAAGTGACTGATTATTCGAGTTTGTTAGGCACTATGATAGGGGTTTGGCAAGGATCAAGGAGTGTGAGGTCAATGATGACTTTGAGTCGGAACATTCTAAGCCAGTGACGCTGACAGCATTGAGATGCTTAGAGGAGCATGCTACTGCACTATATACTAGAAATATTTTCTTCAAGGTCCGTGATAAGATACAAGAAGAAGCTATATTTTTTGTAGTGGATAAGATCGAGAGTAAATGTCATCAGAGTTTCACATAACCAGATTCAAGGTGGATTGTGCAATATTGTCCTCAAATTCACGTGTTTAAATGCAATTGCATAAAATTTGAGTCATTTGAGATTTCATGCTCTTACATGATCGTGGACATGAAGTATGAGCACATACTAGAGTTTTCTCATACAAGTGTGATGAACAGATGAACCATTAAAGCAAAACCAGGGTATAAATGTGCACACAAATGTGGTAATGTGTAGCCGAATGTGTCAATTCTTACGTGTTATGCTAGACTTATGTCAATGTGCAGTCAAATGTGTTATTACCCTTCACAGTTGCTCTCAGACTCAAATGATTTGAGGAGTATGGTGCAACAATGAACTTCTCTTCTAAATGCCCGTCATAAGTCACTTGGTATACACGATGCAAATGTGATGAATACGCAATTCGGTGTGAATGATCCAAAGATTTTGAAAACCAAGGGTAATCCAAGTCGTGCACGTAAGAATATTCCAATCAACCCGCAAAGATGTAGTAAATGCTAGGGCACTGGGCATACTATTAGAAAATTTTCACTCTTGATGTTTCAATCCAATGATCCATTCGATAACATGCCTTTTTCACAAGCAATTGGATTACAGCAACTATGGGACATGCCTTTTTTCACAACTTAGTGGATCGGAACAACTACCCCAAATGTCTTTTTCACAACATGGTGGACCACAACAATTTATGCCATCATTGAAGAGGATGACCGTTGCATTCCCTTTGTCAACGAGGGTATCCTCAACTGTCAGGTTCATATAATACTCTTTGGATATTTATATTTTTTTCTTATGAACTCATTCCTTGTTATTTTAGGATGGAATGTCAAGCTTTTAATCTACCATTCAATCACAATACATCAACACTAGTTTTAGTAATATGGAGGTAATTACAAAAATTACAAATTTTATCCTACAAATTTTATTTTTTCACCATTGTCATCTAACCATCAATTTATGCTATCACAATGGACACCAAGATCATGGAGCAAGTTGGGTTGATCAAATCCTCTTTTTTTTGAAACTTTGAATGAAAATGCTTTACATTCTCCATTCCAAGTTTTTTTCACTTCGATATAACTTTTTTTTTTGGGTGAACCTCGGCGGAGCGAGGTAATTTTATTAATTGAAAAATAAAATTACAACAGGTGAGGATCAGTCCAGCTGAAACATAAACAACAGACACATGAACAGTCACGTAAACAATGTTCAGTCCACTATAATTTAAAATCTGGCAAAACAATTCGGTCAGTGTCTTGAACAATTGCATGAACAATAGCATAAACAGTCTAGAAATCCTCCACAACTTCTTGAAAGCAACTTCTAAAGGAGACTAGAATTTGAAAGATCAGTTGGCATGCTTAAAGGTCTAGCTGAATGAGGAGCAAAACTAGCCACTTCGATATACCTAGCTTGACCTTTATTGGAAGCAAAAAAAATCGAATACCATGCTCATCACTACCATTTGCTCATCACAAAAATTACCAAGCTCATCTTATATATAAAGAATACAACTTTTTAGGTGTAACATTATCACTTTTATTTGGTTGGAATACCACTTTTTTTGGTAAGATTACCAATTTTTTAAGGCAATATTTATCACATTGTTTGGGTTAGATTACCAATTTTTTGAGTAGATTACCACTTTTTGAGGGAAAAATTACCACTATTGAGGTAAGAGTATCATATTTTTGGTTAACATTACAACTTTTTTTTGTAAGAATACAATTTTTTGGGTGTAACCTGATCACTTTTATTTGGTAAGAATACCACTTTTTTAGTAAGATTACCAATTATCTGAGGTTAGATTACCACTTTTGATGGAAATATTACCACTTTGAAGGAAAATATTACAATTTTTTGGTTAACATTACCATTTTTTTGGATTAGAATACAACTTCCTTGGGCTTAGAATACAACTTTTTTTGTGTAACATTATCACTTTTATTTGGTAAGAATACCAGTTTTTGGTAAGATTACCAATTATTTGAGGTAAAATTATCTTTTTTTAGGGAAGATTACCATTGTTTAGGGAAGATTACCACTTTCGATGGAAATATTAACTTTTTTGATTAATATTATCATTTTTTTGGGTTAGATCACAACTTCTTTGGGCTTAAAATACAACTTTTTTGGGTGTAAGAATACTTACCACTTTTGAGGGAATGATTATTACCTTTTTAGTTAACATTACCATTTTTTAGGTTAGAATACAACTTGCTTGGGTTTAGAATACAACTTGTAACATTATCACTTTTATTTTGTCAGAATACCACTTTTTTGGTAAGATTACCCATTATTTGAGGCAAAATTACCACTTTTTAGGGAAGATTACCACTTTTGAAGGTAAGATTATCACTTTTTAGGTTAACATTACCATTTTTTGAATTAGAATACAACTTTTTTATGTATAAGAATACAACTTTTTGAGTGTAGCATTATCACTTTTATTTTGTAAGAATACAACTTTTTTGAATAAAGTTACCATTTATTTGAGGCAAGATTATCACTTTTTAGGNTTTTGTAAGAATACAACTTTTTTGAATAAAGTTACCATTTATTTGAGGCAAGATTATCACTTTTTAGGGAAAGATTACCATTTTTTAGGAAAGATTACCGCTTTTGAGGGAAAAATTACTATTTTTTTTGTTAACATTACCATTTTTTGGGTTATAATACAACTTGCTTGGGCGTAGAATACAACTTTTTTGGGTTTAAGAGTACAACTTTTTTTGTGTATTCTTAGAGGTAAAATTACGGTAAGAATTTATAATCTTACTACTAAATTACCACAACCATTTGCTCATCACAACCATTACCAAGCTCATTTTATATATAAAGAACAAAAATATTTTAGATTTTTGACAAAAATATGTCATTTTGCATTAATTTGTTTCATCACATTTCACTACTGCTGGCTCAACTATTGTATCAACAACCAACAACTACAATTACATATAATTGTCACTTCCTAGCTATTTCTTTGCTTTTCATAAAAAAAAAAAAACTCAATTCTATCCATCCTACTATCGATCACCTTCAGATACTCTTTTATTTCATCTTGTATTTTTAAATTGCTCCATCTTTTTGATCATTTGTACAAGCAAATGTCCCATTATAGTCAATGGAGGAAGACCACCTGTGGAAGAATTTGGGTCATCCTAGGCTTCAACTTCATCCTCTGCTTCAACTTCATTCTCGATTTCAACTTGTGGTTGTTGTGGCTGCTGAGTTTTCTTCTTCTTCCCTTGTCCCAAACTCTTTTTTATTGTCCCACCAAAAATCAGATTCATGGGAGTGGAATATGCATCGCTTGAGTGAATCACAACTCCATAATCTTTGAAATCAAAATTAAGAATGGAAGACATCGCCACCTATCTTTTATACGTTGTACCAAAATAATTTCATCACCTATTAAACATGGTAGATCCTTACATATACCCTTTCCAATGACATACAAGAGATGAGCTCGATTAAGTCCAAAATCAGTAGTATGTCCTCTTAGACTAATATTGTACCCCCACTATAAGGTTTAGCATCCTATATTCGGGAGTAAGGTCTTGCTGAAAAAATATTGTATTGTCAATACTCTCATTAAAATTATTAGGTATACTCTCAATTTCTGAATAAACATCTTCCAACTTAGATATGTCCTTAGAATTCTTGAATGGATAGATAAGTGTATCATTAGGAACAAAGGGTTTGTGAACTCTCAATATTTTTGAAACTAAATCTGGGGTTATTTTAAAACTTACATTCCTCATAAGGGACTTAAATTTGTGATCACCTTTATCAATATCATGCATGTTTGCATAAAATATCTTCACCAATGTATTATATGCTTTATCCATTTTCTTGATATTAACTGTAGAATTCCATTAATGAAGAGCAAAAATAACATCACATCCTATATATTTTAATTGATCCAGTAAAACACCCCTCTCCAATAACAAAGGCCTATAATAAAAGTAGTTATCATACCAATGTTTGCAATTTTTGTTAAAGAAAGATATGTCTGCATTGCATATGGGGTTGGATGAACTTGCTTTATTGAATAAGGGATCAACTGGATTGGAGGTGGGATCAACTGGATTGGTGGAAGTGGGATCAACTATAGAGGATGAATCAATAGAGGCAGGATGATTACAGTTCTTTTTCGACGATGGATCAATAGAGGGAGGATGATTATAGCTCTTCTTCCTCTTCATTTTCCCCCCTACAGTTATCCACAACTTTTGGCCTATACTTCTTTTTGTCGGTCATTAAGCTCTGTTGTAATAAGAAAAAATCTAGGAAAAAAAAAGAGCAATAACATGGCAAATTATCTATTACTTTTAAGCAATAACAATTGATGGAGATGTGAGAAATATAAGATTGCATTACTTTTGAGCCATCATTCGTTCAACCCCCTAAACAAAACCCTTATGCAACTATGTAAACAACAACATTATGAAATTGAGAGAGAGAGAGAAAGGATACCTCGGAGAAGAGGAAGGTGGTGGCAGTGGCAATGGTTACTCTGGTCGTGGCTGTGACAATGGCTCCGATGGTAGTGGCTCCAATGGCATTGACTCTGGTGGCAATGGCGATGGTTGCTCTAGCAATGGTGGTGGCACTAGCAATTGGGTTCGATTTCGGTTCAATTTGGTTGTTGATTTGGGGTTCGAGGCCGTGGCGATGGTTGCTAATTTAGGGTTTTGAGCTTGCCATCAGGTTGGGTGAAATCGATTTGGGGTTCTAGGGTTGTTGAGGAGTTGGATTTTTGGTTTGGGGGGATAGAAGAAAAAAAAAAGTTAATCGCAATATGAGCGATCTAACCTGGATCGCTTATATAGCTATCGGGGGTTTCAGTAGCGATCTTTTTAGCAAACTAATCTCAATTGATCAACCAGCGATCAAATTGCGATCCTGTCCAAAATAAATTTTACTTATACCCCTAAATTATCACCCTTTTAAAAAACTTNTCAAATTGCGATCATGTCCAAAATAAATTTTACTTATACCCCTAAATTATCACCCTTTTAAAAAAAAATTCTCATATTTTTCATATTATATCCTCAACTATGTAATTAGTTTCTTATTACCCCAAATTATTTTACCTATTTTAATTTAACACAAAATGTGTACCCAAATATGATAACTTTGTTGTAATTTATTTAGTGGTGAAAAACTCTGTTTTAATAATTTTAACTTAACCCAAAATATAACCCCAAAAAATGGAAATTTTACCCCCCAAAAAATTGTTGATAACCTTAATGTAACATTTTAGTAATACCCAAAAAAATGTGGTAAACTTTAGTTGTAAAATCAGCATAACGATAATTTGTTATTTAAGTATAGGTTGAAAACATGAATTTTTCTAAAACTCGGATGATGAAGTGGACTTCACCATTGGATTCGTCTCGCAAAATTTAATTACTTTAACAAATTTTGAAAGTTGTAAAATAATTTAAAACAAGTTGAAATAAAAGTGTCTTGAACTTGAACCGGGATAAAATTTAATCGTTTTGAAGCGAAAATAGACCCGATAAAGAAGAACGTGTGGCAAATTGTGGACCAAGTATTTAGGTAGTATAAAAGGGGAAGTAAATTAGATTTCTTCCTCATTTTCTCAGTCTTTCACCCGTTAGAAAAGAAAGAGGAAGAAGAGAGGGAAAAAGTTAGGGTTTCTTCACTTCTCTCTATGATCTATGTCGATACATTGCTCAAATCAACTCAAGTCAAGAACAAAGATTGTTATACTCGTCGAGGGCTACAAAACCATACCAAGAAGGACAGATTTTACCGAAATTTCAAAAACGAGCTTGGAGAAATCAAGAGTTTTGGACGAGAATCGGATTCTTGAAGCTTTCTACATCTCGTTCTTACACTTCAAGAGGTAGAGTTTCATCTTACTTAGGTTTATTTCCAACCTAGGGTGTTTATATGAGGTAGGTAGGTTGTTAGATACATTAACAATTGCCTATTGTTGTTGAAATGTGAAAATGGGTGTAGAAATGATCTAAAACTAATTTCTAACTTGAGTTTGATATGTGGAAGTTACTTGTGGTAATTTTTTGAGAAATGTGGAATCGTGGGCATATTATGTGTTTACATGAAATTTGTGCCTTATTTGGTGTTTGATAATATGTCATGAATAAGTGAGATATGTTGTTTTGATGAAATTGAAATAACATGCTTGGGAATTGTTTATTTTTTGAGAAATATGTTGATATATGTTGATGACGTATTGACATTGTGATAAACCATGATGATTATATGCATATGATATAATTAGACATGGTATATGTTGAAATCTGATGGTCCATATGACATTCATAATATATTGGACATGGTTGTTGTTATGCTATTGTGCACTATATCACATATGCACGGAGACATCGCATTTTGTGGGTGTGGGTGCGTGGTTGTCATCTAACACCACACTTGGTGGATGATGGATGGGCTCGAGGAAATTGGATCGAAGATCCGGCTGAGTCACATATTTGCATTGAAAATTAGGTCGGGATTAACAAGAAGGGCTAGACTATCCCTAGGGTGAGAGACTCAGTGATTGGATATGCACTTTGTTGGTGTATAGTCCATAAAATGTGTCGATGTACGCAAAATCGTTGGTGAAAGTCCATAAATTCCTTGTCGGTTGGGTGCCCGTTGGTATAAGTCCATAAATATCCACTCCAAAAAAAACTCGAAGATTTTAAATAGTCATTGGATGTGAAACATTAATGGCGGGGGCTTGAAAAACCCAGTTCGTGCTCATGACATTGCATGAGTGAAGGGAGCCGGTGAAGGCTCGGGTTAAAGTGCATGAGTGAGTTTGATCTCATTTTATTGCATGACATGGTAATTTCCAACATTGAATTGCAAATTCTTGATTGGAATGGTTATTGCTTGTTAAATATTGTATGTGAACATTTCATATGCATTTAGGTTGGGGAGTAGCCTCTTTAGGAGATACCCTATTGAGCGTGACTCACCCTTTTTGGGAAAAACATTTCAAGTGTGGGATATAATCTAGTGGACGGCTCTTATTCGGGCTATTAAGGATGAAGAAAATCTGAAATATGGCTTTATTTTGAGTTTTTGTAAAATCACTATGAAAACTTAGTTTTAACATGTAAATTCATGGAAATGAATGTAATAGAATTTGTGTGGACCATGTTTAATGTGAAAATTTTCATTATACATGTGTTTGACGGATATAGAATGGATTGGAGTGGATTGAAAATCGAAAACATGTGAAATAGGCAATTCTGGGCACACCTACCAGTAGGTTTTGGGAATACCTACTGGTAGATGTAGTCCAATAGGCAAAACCTACCGATAGAATGTCACTTTTCTGTGGTAGAATTTTTCCAGTAGGCAAAACTTAATGGTAGAACATTAAAACCTACTGGTAGGTTTTCAAAAAATTTGAAATTTTAAGAACGTTTTGCTATATTTTCGNAAATGTTATGCTTGCCACAATGCGACAACAATAATGTGACATCACATAGTACTTTATAAGAACATGACAATGTTACATCACAAGTGTAACACTAGACGTTGAAGTAGCAAAAAAATACTAAACGGTGAAGTAAAAGAAGAAGATATACGTTTAAAACTCCAATATCCTGATCTATTAAAATAGAAAATTGCTGATATAATAAAACAAATCCCATGAAAAATGGAATTTTCAAACAAAATAGTCCATGAATTATATATATAAAAAAGGTATTTCTATTAAAATGGGAAACCATTGATATAATAAAAATAAATCCCATGGAAAAAAGGAACTAACAAATTGAACAGTTCATGAATTATAAAAAAAAAAGTATTTTAGTAAAGGAAAATTTTTAAAAATTGTTATTGTTTATTTAGACACAATACATTTTCAACTAATAAAATTTATCTATAATACATTTTTAGCAAGGTATTTTCCCACAAATATGTAATTTATGTGGTACCTATCCAAAATTTTATGAATTTTTAAATTTTGTCACTTTTACACTCCTTGCTCCACCTTCACTTCCACTCTATGTTATTTATGTGCAGCCTTCTTCAATTTACCTTCTCTTAGGTGCTCTAGTGGGCTGGCCCTTACAATTTACTAGAAAGCAAGCTAGAAATGCTATTTAATTAATCTAACGAAAGAAAGTGATGCAAGAAAGCGAGTCGAAAAAAAGGTATAAGGAACAAAAAAAGATGATAAAAATAAACCATTGATTTGCGCACACATATCGATTTAGATTCCTACTCTAAGCATGTTAATTCACGAAGAATAGTAATTTTAAAAAATTTAATAATTCTGTTGATTCCTAAAAATATAAGAAGAATTAGGAAGAAAAAAAAAACAACTCTCTCAATTATATTCAATAATCAAAAACTATTTTGCCTTACGGCTTACAAAACTTTAAATAGTAGTAAAAAACATAAAAAACTAAAATTTTAAATAAACTAAGAAACTAAATAAAATAAAATCTTAATTAAACTAAAAAAAATAATAATAATTTTCTAATTAAATTAAGAAATAAAATAAAATATTAGAAAATTCCCTAACTGAATGGGATTGACTATGCTCAAATAAAACACCAAAATTTTCGTCACTCATTCTGCATCAAAAAGTTATTCAGCTTACTTTGGTGAAGTTGAAGATGCGCAAAAAGTGTTTATGCACCACATATCAAATATTAAATGCAGTAAGAAATGTTGAGAGTCAATACAAACAAAATATAATTTAAGTGGTTCGATTAGCGTAACCTATTCAACTATGAAGGTAAGATGGTATGAGTATTTTATTGCTCAAGGGGTGTAGAGTGCTCAGATGTGAGTGATATGTGAGAGATGTTTCTTTGTGTTAGTGGGACTTATAATTTATAAGCATCTTCTAACAGATTGAGGTGTCATTCTCATAAAAGGTGAGGTAATTCGGTGGAAGTGGCGTCATTCTTGTAACAGGTGAGGTAATTCGGTGGAAGTGGCGTCATTCTCGTAACAAGCAAGGCAATTCCGTGGAGGTGTCGTCATGCACCCGATGATTGCGTCTCACGGAAATCTGCTCGTGTGACAGTTGTGGACAGTCTTTCAAGATGGCATGGTTGACATGACTCTCTTAAGATAGTGCGGCAGACCTGATTTAGCTTCCTCCATCATGTGGTGTGCTTGACTTATATATTTGAGTTAGGCTTGATTTGCAATTCTGGGCCTGATATGTATTTTTAAACTAGGTCTCTGAATTGAATTTGGTTTGTAATTTTGATGATGAACGCCTTTGTTGTATTATACTAAAACTCAAGAGATCCTCGTGTCATTTCTCAACATCTAAAATTTTTTGTATTTTTTCATCGAATTAAACTTAAAATAGATTAGTACAGGTTACCATAACAGTTAAGATAATCCATTGTTGAAATTGAACTCTTAACGAATTTCAACACATGAACCTCATTGTCATGCAGTAGGGGGATTTTCTTGTGTGGGAGATCGAAATTGGGAAAGTTAGACACTTGGCAAAAATCTAAATGCATGGTATCATGAACTGATTTGAATTGAAATTCAAGTGGCTCGTAGCAACGGTACCAAGAGAGCTTTTTTCCCTGCTTTTGGGCAACAATCAACTCTAAAATGCTTTGGGAGGGAAGAAGAAAGCAAAATGGAACCATGATGATTCGGCTTTCCTTATTGGTGTTCTTTTATGATTATTCAATTGCAATTTTTTTAGGTGAAGTTTTTCCTAATCAGCAAGCCTCACTTAAATTGGATCAAATAGAAAAAGTATCCCTATGCCAAGACTGCAACATTTGAATTCAAGGAGCTTAATTAAGGGACCTCCTCTTCTTAAGCCCTTGTTCTTTGATAACTATGTTTTGATGTATCAAATTTGGAACTCCGGACATCCTATTCTATTTTACGTGGGGATTGAACAGCAATTATGTTAATTCAATGGTCAGAATAAAATAGAAAATTAACCATCAAGTGAAATAAATAGCATTTTCCATACCAAAATACTTCCACAACAAATTAGGGGCTGTTTGGTAAGGGGGTATGGGGCTTGGCAAAATGAGTTTAGGGATAATGGTCCAACGTTCCTCTAAATCTCGTGTTTGTATGAAAAATTTAGTTTCAGGTTTTTAAATTTGATCGTAGTTAGTCTGAAGATTAAATCATGATCATGAGTTTCGTCAAACTTAGGAAAGGGGTGGGTTTGGGAATATGGGTAAAGGGTTAAGGATCCAAAAAATAATTGTACCATTTAACATGAGTACGAATTAGATTGATCAAGGGTAAAATAGTCATTTAAATGATAAATATTTTTTAGTAATTATGATATATTCGTAGGTCCTACGTATGTATGTGTTGCTTATCAAACATGAGTATAGACCTAATTAAATGTTGAATCTCATCTTTCTAAAGAATGGTTTGAGTTTAAAAGGTTTAAAAAAATTAATCCAAACTCCTCCCTAAAATTCATCTAAATAAGTCTTAAGGGTGATTCAGTTCGATAGTTGAGCCTAATCACCGGAAACTTAGAGGTTTTAAATTCAATTATTTTTTATACCTCTTTGGGTTAGTCACCCATATATTCTAATCTAGTTTAAGTTGGAACGAGTATCAAGTAATTTTAAAAATGAGGAATACGTACAAGTCCCAACACATTATAGTAAAAAATAAATAAATAAAATTTCACCAACCAAACTAATTTGCACACTGGATAAGCTTGGAAATCTTGAGCATGATATTAGTTGGTCTCGAGAAGAAGGTACATTCCACAAAGGGGTAATTTTTTCTCTCCCATGCTCCCTAAACCCTCTCTAAAATTCTGTCTCACTTTCTGGGTTTTCTGGAAAAACGAACGTTAGCACTTTTCAGGTGAACGTTACTCTGTTCGGTAGTTCAATCTTCTTTTCATTGCTCTCTCTGTCTCTCTCTCCACTCTTCACTCAAAAGTCGGCTTCACTGTATGCGTCTAGGGTTTAAGCCTGTCTTTTAATGGCTGCCCAAATCTCAGATTGCAGTAACCAAGTAATTTCTGAAACCACAGAAGCGGGTAAATTAGCTAATGGGTCAGTTGATTTGGGGTGGAAAATGGGACCCAAATCTAGTGAATGTGACCCGGGTTCGGAGAAGAAGAAGAGGAATAGTTTCAGGGCGGAGATTGACACGTCAGCGCCGTTCGAGTCGGTGAAGGAAGCAGCGAGTCGATTCGGCGGTATTGGGTTTTGGAGACCCAACTCTCACAAGCTCTCTTCTAAAGTTTCTGAGGTCTCTCTCTTACAATTTTCCTTCACAATTGTTGCTTTCATTTGGCCCCATCTTTTGTTTTGTGGTTATTGTCATAATATCTGAGGTAATATGTGTATTATTTTTTGTTTAGATATAGTAAAACATGAAATTTTGATTCTTCTTGACAATTTCTGCTTGACATTTTTATATATTGCGACCATTGCCTTGTATCCCTGACCTTCTTTTGGTTATTGAAGTATAATGTTGTTGTGATCCGACAATAATAAATTGTTGTTCAAAATTGGTTCATATTGCTGCACATTGCTTCTTATTAGAGCAATTCTTCTCGGGATTTTGTGTCGTGGTTAGTAGTTGAATGGAAATGCTGTTTTCGCGTCCCCTTTTGGTTTGTGGGAGCAATTTTTCATTTTGAACAATATTGGGTACAGGTTATTGGGGTTCTATACCTGTGAATTACAGTTAAGAATGGTGATAGATGTATTTTAGTGGAGCAATGAAGGTCCCACATGGCTTACATTCTATGGCTGTGTTGTGATATGTGAAATGGATTGCTTGTGGCAGCCAAATGCAATCCCTAGGATCACCTTCTAAGCTTTCTAAGTTTGGTTGTTTGAACTCTGACTCTGATTTTAATACGATGGATGCATTCAAAATTCTCAGATTGAGAGACTGTAAATTAGTCTTCCCTTGCCATTTAAATGAACTATCTGGCTCGTGGGTGTAACTTTCTATCTGGAACCATCGTACTTACATTCTGCATGCTCTATGGTTTTTGGACTGCGTTCCCAGAGTTTTTAGAGTAGAGGATTCCTTTTGTCAGTATTCATTTGCCATACATTTTGAGTGTGAACGGTAAATTAAGTTTCTTGATGCGCCAGGCTCTAGTAGAAACTCTCTACAAAGATGACTCAATGTGAGCATGGCAAAGTGGCTCTTTAAGCATTGTTTGATGTTTGGCATGATTGGATTTTGAAACATTGAATCTGTTTCTTCTTCATTGATAATGTTATAACTTATAACACTCCTTCAAGGTGATTGAAAAGATTCCCACTTTTCAGAAAATAAGCCTGAGTCACTGGTTTCATTCAGTCTAGATATAAGTAGAACTCATTAATACAGTTTTGCAATCCTGCTATTCTGACAGTATACGTCTTTATCCAACAGCGCTGTCAACTTTTTCTTTTATTTCTTTTTTTAACATTTGCTTGTGTTTGAAACGGAAGGATTTTAGATGAAGTAGCTGCAAAATGAAGTGAAGCATCACCCTCATTTATAATGAAGCACTAGCTTGCATGCATTCAATATATATAGTTGCTATCAAGAAGAATGTTTAATACACGTTAGTTTATAGATTTTGAGATCCCTCAACTCAGCTGCATAGTTTCCTTAATTGCCTGTGTTGTATCATGTTCCTGATTCCCTGAATTGAACCACCTGATTTTTACTCTTGCTCTTAGTTTACTCATAGTAGGAAATTTTGTAAGTTTTGTCTTGATATGGGAACAGAAGGAGCCTTAGAAGGAAATCTGTCTTCCTAACTGCTAGATTCTCTTTTCTTGGTACTTCCTTTTTTTCCCTTATTTTCATTTTTGTAAATGACTCTTTGGGGTTTTTATGTTTGTGGCAGCATGAAATTGAAGTGGTTGATATCACAAAAGTGGAGGAACAGGCTGCACAGTTAGAGAAAGATTTGGTTGTGAAAGAAAGGGAAACACTTGATGTATTAAAAGAACTGGAAAGAACTAAACTGATTGTAGAAGAACTAAAATCAAAGCTACAGAAAGAAACATTTGAAGTCAATGCAGTCCTCAACGCTAATTCCAATGATCAGAATTTGCAGCCTGCTGCAGAAGTATCTGAAAAGGAAAGTCAGGAAAACACTGCAATTTCCCATCAGGATATGGTGGGTGGTTTGGACCTCTGTCCCTCCTCGGGTCCAGGTTTCATCTTAATGGGTTTGAAACAGGCCAAGTTCAACCTAACCAGGACTACGAATGACCTTGCTGATATCCGAGCTACTGTTGCATCATATAGCAAGAAAATAGAGAAGGAAAGGATATTGCTTGAAAAGACTCGTCAAAGGTTGTCTTCGAATTCTTCGAAAATTTCTTCTCTTGAAGAGGAGCTAAACAAGACAAAGCTGAATCTACAGCTGGCCAAACAGGATGAAGTTAAAGATGGTCTTGATAATCCGATGGATATTTCAATGGAGCTACAACAACTGAGTTCTGAGACGGAGCAGTTTAAGAAAATGGGAGAAGCAGCAAAATCAGAAGTTTTGAGAGCCATGTCTGAGATTGAGCAGACAAAGACTAGGATTAAGACCGCTGAGATCAGATTGGTTGCAGCCAGAAAAATGAAGGAAGCCGCCAGAGCCTCTGAAACTGTTGCTCTTGCAGAGATTAATGCCCTATCAAACAGTGAGAGCTCCTCTGCAGTTCTTCTGCAAAAGCCTGATGGTGTAACTCTTTCATTTGAGGAATACTCATCTTTAACTGCCAAAGCTCGAGAGGCAGAAGAAATTTCCAAGAAGAGAGTGATGGATGCCATGCTTGAAGTTGATGAAGCTAATGTGTCAAAAGCAGAGATCTTAAGGCGGGTAGAGGAAGCTACGGAAGAAGTCAAAATCAGCAAGAAGACATTTGAAGAAGCTCTGAGCAGAGTAGAGGCTGCAAATAGAGGGAAGTTGGCAGTTGAAGAGGCTCTGTGCAAGTGGCGATCTGAGCATGGTCAGAAAAGACGTTATGTACATAATTCTACCAAGTTCAAGAATTCCTACCCATCTCACCTCCGTNAAAAAAAAGGAAAAGAATGAGAATTTTAGTGACAATGTAGCTGCGAAATGAAGTAAATCATCCCCCTCATTTATAATGAAGCACTAGCTTGCATGCATTCAATATATATAGTCGCTATCAAGAAGAATGTTTAATACACGTTAGTTTATAGATTTTGAGATCCCTTAACTCAGCTACATAGTTTCCTTAATTGTTTGTGTTTTATCATGTTCTTGATTCCCTGAATTGAACCACCTGATTTTTTATTCTTGCTCTTAGTTTACTCATCGTAGGAATTTTTGTAAGTTTTGTCTTGATATGGAATATAAGGAGCCTTAGAAGGAAATCTGTCTTTTCTAACTGTTGGATTCTCTTTTCTTGGTACTTCATTTTTTCCTTTATTTTCATTTTTGTAGATGACTCTTTGGGATTTTTATGTTTATGGCAGCATGAAATTGAAGTGGTTGATATCACAAAAGTGGAGGAACAGGCTAGACAGTTGGAGAAAGATTTGGTTGAGAAGACAAAGACTAGGATTGAGACCGCTGAGATCATATTGGTTGCAGCCAGAAAAATGAAGGAAGCCCCTAAAGCCTTTGAAGTTGTTGCTCTTGTAGAGATTAATGCCCTATCAAACAGTGAGAGCTCCTCTGCAGTTCTTCTGCAAAAGCCTGATGGTGTAACTCTTTCATTTGAGGAATACTCATCTTTAACTGCCAAAGCTCGAGAGGCAGAAGAAATTTCCAAGAAGAGAGTGATGGATGCCATGCTTGAAGTTGATGAAGCTAATGTGTCAAAAGCAGAGATCTTAAGGCGGGTAGAGGAAGCTACGGAAGAAGTCAAAATCAGCAAGAAGACATTTGAAGAAGCTCTGAGCAGAGTAGAGGATGCAAATAGAGGGAAGTTGGCAGTTGAAGAGGCTCTGTGCAAGTGGCGATCTGAGCATGGTCAGAAAAGACGTTATGTACATAATTCTACCAAGTTCAAGAATTCCTACCCATCTCACCTCCGTAAAGATTCTCGTGTCTTAGATGCAAATGGATTGAATCTGGTTAATGATGAGTCAAAGCCAGTTTTGAGGTCAACTCTGTCGATAGGGCAAATACTGAGCAGAAAGCTGCTGTTAACAGAAGAATATGAGAATGGGATGCAGACAGAAAAAAGCAATGGGAAGCGCAAGGTATCATTGGGTCAAATGCTTAGTAAACCCAGTGGTGATCTCCGTGCTACTACTCTAAAGGGTGAGAAGGGTGGTGGTCACAAGCAACTCCCCACAAAGAGAAAGAAGTTTGGGTTTGCTCAGATCTCGCTCCTTGTGACAAAGCAAGGTAAGAAAAAGAAGAAACAAACTGCGAGTTCAAGATGCCACAGTGGTTAAATCAATTGATTTAAGATCAGGAATTGACTTCTTCTTGTATGTCTTACTCCCTTCCCCTTCCCCATCCCCTTCCTCCTTCCCCTTCATCTCATTTTCTTCGTTTCTAATTATCTGGTGTAGTGTTAAGTTTGCATGGGTTGCTAATGTTCCTGATCCCTTTCAGATATTGTTCCCCTTTTCTGGTGGTTGGAGGTGTAATACTGGGTTTTAAGATTATATATATTAGATTTAACCTTCCTCATACTCATGCATGGAAATTTGCTTTATCAAGTAGCACAATTTAGAATATGCTTCGGATGCTAACATGGCTGTACAACTAGCATGATCGGGGAAAATGTGATATGTTCCCATATGGGATCAGTTTGTTGACCATAGCAGTGTGAAATGTAATATGCTGCGAGTGATGCTTGTGTAATTTTCTGCTTGAAGGCGGCTGATTAATCAAACAGTTAAAACTGTTTCATAATGCTATATAGCCATTTGGGCATGATCATATACTAGAAACAATGTATTTGTTCAAACAACAGTCTGTTTTATTTTGAGCTAGGTAATGATTTCCTGCTACAAACAGCATGTTGGTTCAAATCTCCTGGGTGGAGGCGGAAAGCCAAGCTTGGATACCGGATTTAACGGTGCAGAGATAGCAATGGCAGCCTATTGTTCAAGCTCTAATCTATTGCTAACCCCGTCACAAAGCATGTCCAAAGTGTCGGTCAAACACAATAAAGATGTAAGCACCTAACTATTGATTTCTTCAAGTCTGAGAGCTAAGCAGTTGACAATACATAAAAACTTATTTCATCAGTCTATTTGGTTGCACTTCCTCAAGCTATTTATTTGAGACATTTGGAGGAGAATTTGAACAACGCATCCAGTTTGACTTGTAACCAGGAGTTTTCCGATCAAATCAAGTATTGTTATTTCATGACTCATTAACCTCATGGGTAGTTGAATTGATTATAAAGATGAACCATAAATTGCGACATCATGAGTTTGAATCTTAATAATCCGTCGAAATCAAATTATAAAAAGTTTATTTTCGTGAATACTTTAGTCTTAGTGTGGCTGATTTATTTTTGATCGAATCGGGAAGGAAATTAGTTGAAATGCGCATAAACTGATCTAAAAAATCTTAACAGTTTAAAAAAAAAAAAAACTATAACATGTGTCAACAAGTATAATGTATCGAGTTTTACATATAAAAAGTATAAAATGCTAAAAACTTTAAATATTATGAAATACATGACTTTTCCAACCGTTCAAAAATTACAAGGGTCGCAAGTCTCCCTTTTCCCTAAAACCAAACTTAGCAGATCTTAAAATTATACATTAATGTACATCATTGTCCTAGTTATTGTATTAAAGACCAACATGTCCAGGTGGACTATACCACCAGTATTATTCCCATTNGTCCTAGTTGTTGTATTAAAGACCAACATGTCCAGGTGGACTATACCACCAGTATTATTCCCATTGTAGATTCCTATGATAAGCATAATTTGCTATGCTTTGTCGATCCACATATACTATAATGTCGATCATTCACTTTGCAAAATTACAAAATTGACCCACCCACGGAGGAAAAAAGAAACACAACCTTTAATAATGGTGCTGACACGTCGAAATCTTAGTGGACACGTAAGAAAGTTTGATTAGGAGTCGTGAAGGTGCCAACAATTCAACCTGTTCTCAAAGGAAGAATAATCCATTGCTTGGTAGGCTCGGAAGGGAGAAATAAGAGTCAACGACTCCGTTCTTCCCCTTCTCTTCATTCGACCCTCAAAAACCATTCAGATCCAAAGCGTCCCGTAACCCTTTTGCCATAAGGTCAAATTCTTTCCTTTTATGATTATCTGTTTCAGTTTTTGGGTTTCCTTCTTCTGATCTGTATCTATCTCTGTTGTTCTGTTTCTTCTTCGTGAATCATGGATGAATTTCTTTATGTGTGTGGATTTTGTAGATATTATTGAACTCTGAATGTTATTTATTGTATTCTTTTCAGTAATATATCATTACCCTTAATGATTTAACAAGTAAAATTGTGTTTTGTTCTTGATGGATTCGATTTGATTGAACCATAGTTTTGTTTGTTGCTGTATGATTATCTACTATATAGGAGTTCTAATAACAAGTTGATAAAACTTATTATCAATGGGAAAAAAATTGATTTGTAGAGCAGTTAAGCTTGTTGCTGAACTAGGAAGACTTGATGATCTGTTTATATGATTGTGATGATACCAGGAGGTCTTCTGGAAATCTGCCTATCGTTATTCAAGAATTGTCAATTAACTAAACATGATGCTTAAGTTATATAGTGTAGTTATTAATTCTACATTTATAATTCAATTAAAACCATCCCAAACTAGAGGATTGATTGAATGATTTTCAGTTTGTACAGCATGGACGCGAGAGTTGGGCTCTTATTCCTTTTTGTGGTGGGTGCTAGTTGGGCCTGTAATGCTAGAGAATTGGGAAGATCTGATCTATTCGCTGAAGAAACTAGGATCCCTACTGTTTCAGGTACTCTTTGATTGATTTTATTTTATATCTTTGCTTTTAGATTTCACATATTGAAGACTGAAGAGATATGGTGGATATTTTTGTAACTTCTATTAAAAATATTAAAAAACAAACAATTGTCCTTGTCACTTCCCCGGGAAAAAAAAAATATGTCCGTGTCTAGAGACACTATATAACATACAAAAAACTACAAACAATTGTAGGTGCATGATGGAACTGTACAACACATCAAATCTTTTCTAAAAAACTTCGACAAAATATCCTCCAAAAACATGAACTATGAACAACATCAACTTGCATAAATAATTACATAATCAAGCTTTTATTTAAAGAAACACGACTCAAATCAATTACCGACTCATCATAACTTTATATTTTATGCCTATGACTGAAGGCAATACAAAACCTTCAAATTATATTAGCACAACCAAGTTGCACTCAAATTAGTATTCCAATCTCACAACCCAATCTTTTTATTTTTTCTAAACAGCGAAAGCCAAATCTTTAACTATTCCCCAAAAACAAAACTTTAAACGAAAACTTTCCAAAAACTATCGGTCCCAACCCATATGGATCAGCAATTTTAAATGAATTAAATCAATTGACGGAAGAGATCAGATAGAGAGAGAAGGGGAGAGGAGGAAAGGGGGTTAAGTCAAAACCCTATGGGGTATTTTGTTGAACAGATTATAGGTGCGCACACACACACACACACACACACACACACACACACATATATATATATATATAGAGAGAGAGAGAGAACACCTATGAGTGTGATCCGACCGACAAACAATAGCGTCCGACCCCAAGTGTATCCATCACTCGTGAGCTAGCCGAAGAACTANAACACCTATGAGTGTGATCCGACCGACGAACAATAGCGTCCGACCCCAAGTGTATCCATCACTCGTGAGCTAGCCGAAGAACTAGTAGGTGAAGTTTTCGCTCAAATTTGGGGGTTGAAGACTGAGTAATCTATTAACACAGACTGTCAGACATCAATACTAAAAAGTTATAAACTAATACCATATTTTAAGGGGGTGGGATCTGGTGGTGATTGGGGCAGCTGTAGAGAGAGAGAGATAGGGGGGTTGAGTGGGTGGGGATTTGGCAGATGTGGGGGTGGGGCAAGGTGGGTTTTCGGTGGGTATGTATATGTGTTGGTGTGTCTATTTTGTGTGTATGTGGAGTTACAAGGGGAAAATGAGAGAAATGGCTAGGGGGTGGGGGCTTGGGACGAAAAGAGAGGTAGAAGAGAAATAGAGAGATGGAGGGAGACATACTTTGAGGTCACTAGTCGCCGGAGGTAGAAGAGACCAAGATAGTTGGTTCGTTGCTTGTTGAAGGGTGACAGAGAGAGGAGGCGCTGGCTAGAGAGAGAGGAGGCAGAGAAAGATAAGCGACTAATTTAGGGTGTATTGAATTAGGGCTTGATTGAGAGATGAGGAGAGAGTCTATGTGAGAATGGGAATGTAATGGGCAGGAATCTAAAATTTTGTTAGTTATTATTATTAGTCATTGAGTAAAATTTGGAGAAATTTATAATGATCTGAACCGGGAAAAATAAAAGTCATTTTGATGTCTTTGGAGGATTCAAAATACCTTGTCCCTTATGATATTGATTATCATGGAATAGTTGGTAGCTTTTATCAGCAGATATGTATGCAAGGCTATTAAATTGGACTTATTGATGGGTTTACTAAACTGGCAATTTTAATGTGTCCTCATTCATCATCAAGAGCACTCTGCAGTGGTTTTTGTTGCATACTCGCATATTTGTAAATTCATTGCTTTACTGAACTTACCACCTTGCTGCATATTTCCTTTGTTAATATCACCTCTTCCGCTTCCACAAGCACCTTGTAGCTCATCTACCAGTTTCTCGCTGCAGTTTTGCGTTTAAATCGCCAGGAGTCAGTAGAGGAAGTTCTAGCTGCAGCAAAAAATGGCAGGAACGAAGAAGTGTGCACAATGTGTGAAGAGTTTGTTGGTGATGCACTTAATTACCTTGCTGAAAACAAAACCCAGACGGAGATCACTCACATCCTTCATAAGTCATGCTCTAAGCTGCTCTCCTTCAAGCAGGAGGTATTTACTAACTTTTGGCAAAGCCAAACCTTGTACAATTTATTTGAGTTGCTCACTATGCACTAAGCTTATACAACCAATTGCTTGTCTTCTTTAAAAGGCATCCTTTTAGGTGCACAAACCCTTTATATGCTTATTAGATGGTCATTGTCCTTCTTTCTTGGGGATTGCCAATTACAAATATAGCCATTATTAGTTTAAGATTTTATGTAATTGCTAATTATCTGTTGTTTGATGGTTCGATCATCTTGCCTTGGCAATTGATCTGCATTTCAAATGAGAAACTACCTTGATTTAAATGCTCATTCTTCCTTCACTCATGGTCTACGTCTGTTGAGACCATGAGATGTCTAGTGCTGTCATGTAAAGTACAGTGTATAAACAATGAAGAAGAAAACTTGTAAACCTTGATGTTAGTTGGATTGGAGAAGTTAAGAATATGTTAGCAAGTTAAGTGTCCAGAGTGGAAAAAGCTAGATCACACAAACTTTGAACACCTGTTGAAGCTTCAGAAACAAAGTAATAGATTTAAAACACAGTATGTTAAATTCAGGTACTAGTTTCTTTCTGTTGCTTGTGCGATTCCAACTAGAATTTTTGTCTGGCAGTGCATTACTTTGGTGGATTATTATGCTCCTCTCTTCTTCTTGGAGGTGTCTTCAATACAACCTGGGGATTTCTGTAGAAAGGTCAATCTCTGTGGACAAACAGTTTCCTTTTCTCAGCGTCTCTCCGAGGATAGTTGTGGAATTTGTCATCATGCTGTTGAAGAAGCTTTATTAAAGCTGAAAGATCCAGATACCCAGGTATGTGTTACACTGTCAGCTAATCATCACCAATATAAATCTACATTATATTGACATTCGTTGCAATGTTCCACAGTTTACATTTTGATTTCTTTATGGGAAGCACTTCTGATTCAGCTCATTTTGTCTTTGGCTTTCTTTCAGTTGGAAATAATTGAGGTGCTTCTGAAGGCATGCAACGCTGTGGAGAGCTATGTAAAAAAGGTTAGAGCGATCCTGGAACTTAAAGTTAGAAATTTATGAACTCTTATGCTTCTTTAGGTTTGCCAAATGGCCTCTCATGTACTTGAACTTCAAAAGGTTTAGCAGAGTTCTTTATTCTTCTGTTCTCATTGTTTTCATTTTGACTGATGAAGTCAATCTACTATAAGATTGACCTATACTGTAGAATATGAATCAGAAGAGTGTAATCATTTAAGGGTAGACCTATTGATCTCAAAGACTTAAAAAACAACAAAGTTGTAAGAGATTTTCTCTTAGATACTATATCAGAGTGATAGGATCTCTTTCCCTCATGCTGCGCAATTGATCCGAATAACCCACTTCCTGAGAGAAGGAAAATTCAAGGGAATCACTCATTTTCTCCATGATCTTTGATTTGGTTAGTTTAGAATTTGTGGAATCATGAATACCTCTTTTGTGCTTTATCGATGTTTTCTTCCTTTTTATTGGTTATGTCCCCTGAAAAATATTTTGATTTTATACTTGTTTCCAATTGTTTTGGCAGTGCAAGAGAATGGTTTTTGAATATGGACCTGTGATCCTCATCAATGCAGAGCAGTTTTTGGAATCAAATGACATATGCACCATATTGCAAGCCTGCGATTCGCCTACTGCTAGTTCCAAGCAAGCATTACCCGTGTCGAAAACATCCATGCTTTTTTAAATCTTAAAGATGATAGTAAAGAAAGAGCATATTGATTGTGTGTATTCATAACGATAAATGTAATCGTAAAGACAGGCTTTCAGTTTGTTGTAAATTATGTCTAAACAAAATTTGAATTTGATGCAAGAAACTGTTTGATCTTCAATGTCTGTGGTTCTGCATTGTTAAGGGAAACAAAATTACACAATAACTTCTGCACACTAAACCAAACTCTCTCTCTCTCTCTCTCTCTCTCTCTCTCTCTCCACACACACACACACATACACACATATATCTATANTACTGCATTGTTAAGGGAAACAAAATTACACAATAACTTCTGCACACTAAACCAAACTCTCTCTCTCTCTCTCTCTCTCCACACACACACACACACACACACACACACACACACATACACACATATATCTATATCTATATAATAAAGTATAATACAATTAAAATCTTAAAAGATAAACAAAATGATTTTTGTTATTCGTGGTTGAGATCTCNATATATCTATATCTATATAATAAAGTATAATATAATTAAAATCTTAAAAGATAAACAAAATGATTTTTGTTATTCGTGGTTGAGATCTCTTTAAATTTTATTTTAAATTTAATCCAATGAATAATATTAATACCTCAAATTTAATAAGAAAAATAGGCATCTAAGGATGTATTTGGAGTGACTTTTTAAAAATAATTTTAAGACTTATTTCTCATAAGTACTTTTAAAAAAAAATAATGTTTAGAACCTCCCTACCATCACCTCTACCCAACACTACCCTACCACCACAACTACCCCCACCACCACCACTATCACTGCCCACCACTACCCCACCACCATCACCAGTATCACCACCATCCCATCACCTCCGCTGCCCCACCACCAGCATCACCATTACCAATACCGTCCCACCACCTCCACCTCCACCTCTACCGCCCCACCACCACCATCCTCATTACCACCACCACTGTTGCTACACCCTAGCTCCATTGCCATCCCACCATTGCCACTNCCATCACTGCCCACCACTACCCCACCACCATCACCAGTATCACCACCATCCCATCACCTCCGTTGCCCCACCACCAGCATCACCATTACCAATACTGTCCCACCACCTCCACCTCCACCTCTACCGCCCCACCACCACCATCCTCGTTACCACCACCACTGTTGCTACACCCTAGCTCCATTGTCATCCCACCATTGCCACTGTCGCCAACACACCATAGCTGTTGTCGACATCACCGTTGCCACCACCATCCGTCGCCACTACCCCACCTTCACCCCTACCATCGCCACCTACCATTGATTGTTACCATCGTCACCACCGACCACCATTATCATCTTATTTTTACATTTATACCATTATCACTATCATCCCACACCCACCACCGCTATTGTTGCCCACCGTTTCCCACTACCACAACTCACCACCACCCGTTGTCACTCACTATCACCACCAGTTATTGTCACCCCGTCACCACACTTACCTTCATCACCCATCATTGCCCCAGCACTACAGTCACTGACTGTCATCTACCACCATCGTCATCGTGCATAACCACCGTCGTTGTCCCACCACCACCACTGTCAATTACCCATCACCGTCATCCACCACCACTACCACCGTCACCCACGACTACCACTACCTCATCANTCACTGTCATCTACCACCATCGTCATCGTGCATAACCACCGTCGTTGTCCCACCACCACCACTGTCAATTACCTATCACCGTCATCCACCACCACTACCACCGTCACCCACGACTACCACTACCTCATCATCGCCCCAAACCCACCCACGGCTCTCTCCACCACCACCACAGTCGTCGCCACCCACCACAACTATAACTTCTATACACTAAATCAAACACTCTCTCTCTCTCTTTTTCTCCACACACACACACACACACATATATATAATAAAGTACAATAAAATTCAAATCTTAAAAAATAAACAAAATGACTTTTACTATTCGTGGTTTAGTTCTTTTTAAATTTTACTTTAAACTTAATCCGATAACTAATATTAACACCTCAAATTTAATAGAAAAAATAAGTCTCTAAAATTGTGTTTGGAGTGACTTTTTAAAAATAGTTTTAGGATTTATTTCTCATAAGTACTTTTAAAAAAAATAGTGTTTGAAACTACCTTACCACCACCCCTACCACCCCAACACCATCACCAATACCACCACAACTACCCCCACCACCACCATCGTCGCCACCACCAACACCATCACCACCTTACCACACCCACCACCCAACCACCACCACCATCACTGCCCACCACTATCCCACCACCATTACCAATACCACCATCGTCCCATCACTTCCACTGCCCCCACCACCACCATCCCTACCACCTCCACCTCCATCCCCTTATCACTACCACCACTGTCCCACCACTCCTCCACTGCCCCACTAGCACCATCTCATTACCACCACCATTGTTGCCACACTCTAGCTCCATTGTCATCCCACCACTGCCACTACCGCCAACACACAATAGCCACCATCAACATCACTGTCGCCACTGCCCCACCTTCACCCCTACCCTACCTCACCCTTGCCATCGCCACCCACCACTAATTGTTACCACCAACCACCATTGTCATCTTATTTTTATATTTTTGACCATTATCACTATCATCTCACACCCATCGTCAACACCTACCACCTCCATTGTTGTCCACTGTCACCCAGTACAACAACTCACCACCACCCATTGTCGTTCGCCATCACCACCAGCTATTATCACCCACCCCCACCACACCTACCTCCACCACCCATCATCACCCAGTACTATAGCCTCCCACTGTCATTTACCACCATGGTCACTACCCATAACCACTGTCGTTTCCCCACCATCACCACTGCTAACTATCATCACCGTCGTCCACCACCCACCACCACTACCACCATCAATCACGACTGTCACTACCCCATCATCACCCAAAATCCACCACCACCATCACTGTTGTCATTCACGGTTGTCACCACCATGGTCGTCACCATCCACCACAACCATCACCGTCTCTCACTATCATCATTATCGTCTACCATCACTACCACTGCTCACCTCCACTGCAATCGGTGCTTAAATTTATTTCTCTTTCTTTTATATTTGTGATTTGATTTTGAGTGTGAATACAAATATATATATTGTTGACTATTTTTTTTTATTATTCCGTACCTTTAGGCACGGGAAATAACTAGTATTTATATATTTTATGTATAAACGGTAGGTAGGATTTGACCTTAGAGTTGTTGCTNTATTTGTGATTTGATTTTGAGTGTGAATACAAATATATATATTGTTGACTATTTTTTTTTATTATTCCATACCTTCAGGCACGGGAAATAACTAGTATTTATATATTTTATGTATAAACGGTAGGTAGGATTTGACCTTAGAGTTGTTGCTTAATATTGGTTCAAATTATTGAGGAGACCGGAGATTAAATTGGGTGATATTTATATATTATTTGCTTTTGGACAACGTTTTCTCTTACAACTTGATAAAAAATGATGACGGAATGAACATGAATGGTTCCATAGGGTGAGCTTCTATGAAGTTTCCTCATCGTCTTTAAGCGCTGACTACATGTTTTAACATATGTTTTTAAGTGGTGGTGTGCTATGCGGTCTCTGTTTTTCTTCAATTCGTGATTGAACAAGTCAACCCCGTGTGGACCCACCTTAATAGCTCCAGGAATTTTGTTTTCTAGTGTGTATTATTCATCGAGTATTGAATACTGTAGAACACTGTATTAAAATGCCTCTCATTGTTGTGTCGTTAACCCTGAGAGTGATTGCAGAGTAGACTCATCCAATCAAAAAAACAACTGACAGGATACAGGCAATTGCTGGGTGGCAGAAGCTCATAACAATGGTGATCATTGTCATTTTGATTGGGATCGTAGACACGACACCCGAAACAATGCCAACACAAAGACACCGTGTTTATGTTAAGCTTTTGTTAATAGGCTCACGTTGTAAACAAATAAGAAATCAACACACATGACATAATATGAAAGGTTCGATATAAGTAAAACAAATTTTGACCCACATTAAATAAAATCGGCATTACACGAACCATTGTTCACCACGAACCATTGTTCACCCCCCTTCTGGCCTTGGCATGATGGCATCCAATCTGAGACCATTGAACAAATCAACTTGCCTCTAGAAGAAGATCCATAAGACTTTCTTATCAATTTTGCTTGTCTTGCTAGCTACCTAGTTTAATTTTAGATGGTCAACTCAAACCAGACTTTGGAATATTCAGTACTACGTACTGAAAGCTTCCTTAAACAATTCAGAGTTTAATTATATGTATAAGATCAGAAAACAACACTGACCATAAATTAAGTTCATGGGCTTTCATAATTAGTATACACGAAACTAAATGTGCTCTGCTCTTGCTTAGATGTCCGATGGTTGTTGAATTGCTAATGCCATTTTCGTGACAAAAACTCTCACCTTTGCATTATTACATAAAATTGAATCATTTCTTTTTTGACAAAAATCCTAGCTCAAATATTTCATTTTATGTCAGCTGACAGTCAAATGTATGGTTGGTTACAAACTGATCCAACGCAATAAAATATGAGGATTTCTCTCTTCTTCTTGATTTTTTTGCCTCTTATGGCCACAACCACAATGATGGATTTATGTGGTCAAGTAATATGCATAAGAAACTAAGCTTAAGAAGTTTTTATTTTCTAACACATACATAAACTTCACCCACAATGTAGTCCATTAACGTGGAACTTGGGGTAATCCGTAAACTCGAACAACCCAAATTCAACAGAAAACTCTGGTTTAATCTATATTTGTAGTTAGTAGACGACTGCAAGTATTTGAGATTCATTTTATAGGATGTGCGTAAAATATCTCTACCCAGAATAGAAGAGAGTTCTTACAATAAAAACACAAAAAACAAAATTTTGTTAATTAAACCCAACCCCCAGTCAATCGGATGGGGACCCAATCTCTCCAACTGACAAGGTGGTGTCTCAATTATATTAACAAGAAAAATCATCTTAATCTTAATATCTGAGCATTCTAGAAAACGTCTAATCATTGAATTATTTAAACTGCTTGGCATTGGGAAAGTGACAGAAAGTTGTGTATGTGGGGAAGCAATCTTGCAAAAAACACAAAGAGGCATCATACCAAGACCACCCTTCACCAGTTAAACTCACTGAATTATCTTTTAATATGATTATTCCCTATTCATTTCCCCTTTGTCCTTTGTTTTATAATAATGTATACTCAATGATCTCATCCTCTCCTTGTTTTCTTCCCTATTCTGCCCCTTGTACAAATACAAATTTCCACAACTTGATCTTTTATAATTACACCAACACAATTAACAGCAATAATACTGGATAAAAAATATTGAAAAACATTTGCAGACTCTCAATATCACTACTATTAATTTAACCGTGAGTCTACCTATTCAATAATTGTAATGGAGGGAATCAGAAAAATATTAACAAATATTTTTTGTGTCCTAATAGTATTTCTCCACAGTTAAATATTACATTCCAAGAATAAACCCCGGAGGATTCATGCAAGTGTAAAGTAATCGAGATAGAATTGACTTGTGACTTTTTGTTTTTTTTTTTTCCTGATTCATATTAATAAGAACATCTCCAACAACAAAATACATTTTACCTACTCAAAAAGTAACATTTTTTATATTTTTAATTACTCTTTTTTAAATAATATTTTNAACATCTCCAACAACAAAATACATGTTACCTACTCAAAAAGTAACATTTTTTATATTTTTAATTACTCTTTTTTAAATAATATTTTTTATTCTTTTTGTATTATTTTTTTTGGAAATAGTAAAAAAGAGAAAGAGAGAGAATGGAAGAAAAGAGAGGAAGAGGGAGAAAATAATATAAATTATCTTTACAAGTTGCTGCAGTGATAGTTTATATTTAGAGTATCATTGTAGAAAAAATTATTTTATTGTATATGAATATAATCTCTTGAAATATAATTTTTAACTTTGATTAACTAAATTTTAATTATTTTATTCATTTGAAACATGTGTTAGATGCTCAAAGAGAACATATAGAATGTCGAACGCTCAATCCAAAATCAATGTAGAACCTTCAACAGAGAGGTCCAAAGGGTCAAACGATGGCATTAATGTGGTCGGATTACGATTGCACTCACCCAAGAAGGATTTGTGGCCTGTAATTGCTGACTCATCCATTCCAAGCTGTGAGTGAGCCACAAGTTTTTTATCCCTAATCAATTTCGGTATTTTGTGAAAAAAAAATTTTTAGAGGAATTATATGATGCATTTATATCCACAAATTCAAAAATTAATAAAAAAAAATTAATTTTTAATAACGCATTAAATTCTAATNAAAAAATTTTTAGAGGAATTATATGATGCATTTATATCCACAAATTCAAAAATTAATAAAAAAAAATTAATTTTTAATAACGCATTAAATTCTAATTTTCAAAAAAATGTGGTGGGACCACAAAATGTAGAATCTAATATGGACACAAAACGAATATTCACGCTGCATGATTGATTTGGCCCGTAGTGTGGTAAAAAAGTGGAGTGTTTGGTTTGAATTGCAGTTGACGGGTGCCCAAACATGGTCTGAAGTTTCCCTCATTACGTGTCAAGGTTTTATTGGCCAATTGGTTTGGTATGGGACCCACCCGTTTGTTTGGAAGCAGGTTTCACAGAAGCCGTCGNCAAGGTTTTATTGGCCAATTGGTTTGGTATGGGACCCACCCGTTTGTTTGGAAGCAGGTTTCACAGAAGCCGTCGCCATTCTATTCCAAAATTGAAAAATATTCCAAAGACTACTTGAATTTCGATTTGTGACAACTAATATTCAACTAGGTTTTATTTACAAAAGTAATAATACTACTTAATTGAAACACAATGATTAGCAGCCACCGAGGTCGGAGAGCGCCTATAAAACTTTAATCAAGGGTTTTTCTTGGTTCGTGTTAGTAGAATAATCTTCTTTCTCTCGTTCTCGTTGCCTTGCCTCCTCTGATACTTTCTGAGAGCTAAATCCTTCACTTTTATAGGTAATTATGTTTCTTCAACTGGGTTCAGTAAGTTTCATCAAGTTATAAAACGTTTTCATCTTGTACTTAGTTTTTATGCATTGAACTTCTGTTTCTGTGTTGAATCTCAAGTGCTTATGTGTTTTTCCCTCTTTGTTCGTTCTTGGTTTTGTTTTTTTGTGCTGTTTGGTTGCTGAGAAACGGTTGGAAAAGGAAAGAAAAGAAAAGAAAATTGCACGATCTTCGAGATTTGTTGATATTTTATTTAGTTTTCCAAACAGCAATTCGTCTTTATTCTTTCTTTTGCCAATTGAGTCATCTTGATTTTTTCGCTAAAGTTTGTTGTATTGTTGCCCTTGTTTGATTTGCTCCTCCAGATTTATGCTCTGTAGCTTGAACTGTATTTTTTTTACTTTGTTCTGTTGTTTTAACTTGCATGTAGAACATAAGATCATTTTTACTGAAATTCTGGGGGTTGAGTGAGTTCTTGGATATGAATTTGTGCCTCAAAATGCATTATTATTCCCTAATATACTGTTTATATAATCAAAACTTCCTAGATTGGTTCAGCAGTTGCTCATTCCTAATCTGGTTTGCCAGTAGAACCAAAGGAACTTTTTTCTGTGTATCTGTATTGATATTTGCTTCACTCTTCTCTTTCTTGCGGCATTTGTCCACTGAGGTTGATTTTTTCACACCTTCGAACATTCCATTATAATGTTTTGTTGGTGTATTCTATTTTTCGGTGAAATTTTCACATGATTCTGTTTCTTCAATTGTAAATCGCTTTTTTTATTTTTGGCCTCAGGTGACTCGTCAAACAATTGCTGCTGGTGCGTTGAGCTTTCTACCAAATTACTGCTCTGCTGTTCTACTGATCTGCCAGAGGTTCAACTTTTTAACCTTCTCCATCTCCTTCAGTATTCTCTCTTCTATAAAAAAAAAAAATCAGGGAATGCTGAAAGATGTGCTTAAAAGCTAAGAGGTCTTTCTCTGAGGCTGATGATGCTGAAGCTCCATTTGGGTTGTCCTCATTTATCCTTGATGAGATTGGACAGATAATTTACTGCCCTTACCATTTCTCTGATCAAATGCCCACTGGGGCTAAATATTTTAGGGGACAAGTTGCTTCGTATCAGGACCTTTGTGAAGACGGTTGAGGTCTTGCAGCCTTAAAATAAATTTTTGGACTGTGTAGTCTCTACATAGCATATTTTCTTCCTGGGAAAATAGAATATTATTGTGTAGTAGCTTTCTAAATTGGAATGGAAAATAAAGGGAGTGTGTTGATGCAACGGTATGAATTGGGGAAATTGTTAGGACAAGGCACCTTTGCGAAAGTCTATCATGCAAGGAACCTTACAACTGGCATGAGTGTGGCCATTAAAATTATCGAAAAAGAGAAAATTTTGAAGGTTGGGATGATTGATCAAATTAAGCGAGAGATATCTATAATGAGACTGGTTAGACACTCCAATGTGGTGCAGCTTTATGAGGTCATGGCCAGTAAAACCAAGATTTACTTTGTCATAGAATATTGCAAAGGTGGAGAGCTCTTCAACAAGGTGGCTAAAGGGAAGCTCAAGGAGGATGTGGCAAGGAAATACTTTCAACAGCTGATCAGTGCTGTTGATTTCTGCCACAGTAGAGGTGTTTATCACAGGGATCTGAAACCAGAGAACCTACTGTTGGATGAGAATGGGAATCTAAAGGTATCAGACTTTGGATTGAGTGCACTTGCTGAATCTAAGCATCAAGATGGTTTGCTTCACACAACCTGTGGGACACCTGCATATGTTTCCCCAGAGGTGATTAATAGGAAAGGCTATGATGGATCTAAAGCTGATATCTGGTCATGCGGAGTGATCTTGTATGTTCTATTGGCTGGCTATCTCCCGTTCCATGATTCCAATCTAATGGAGATGTATAGGAAGATCGATAAGGCTGATTTCAAGTTTCCTAACTGGTTCCCTCCAGAAGCACGCAGGCTTGTGTCAAAGATACTGGATCCAAACCCAAATACCAGGATTTCCATTGCCAAAATCATGGAAAATTCTTGGTTTCGGAAGGGGTTCAACCATAAACCCGTAAGATTGCCAATGGAAGGGAAAGAACCAACTGCTCTTGAATCTGATACTGTCTTTGGTTCATTGGAGAATAGTTGTACTCCTGTGGAGGCAAAGCAAGAATTGGCAAAACCTGTTAACTTGAATGCTTTTGATATCATATCCTTGTCGGCAGGGTTTGACTTGTCTGGCTTGTTTGAGGAGAATGAGCAGAAGAAAGAAGCAAGATTTACATCCAGGGAGCCAGCCAAAACCATAATCTCTAAGTTGGAGGACATGGCTAAGCATCTGAGGCTGAAAGTGACAAAGAAAGACAAAGGATTGTTGAAATTGGAAGGATCTAAAGAAGGCCGCAAAGGGATCTTATCCATTGATGCAGAAATCTTCGAAGTTACCCCAACTTTTCATCTAGTTGAGGTGAAAAAGTCGAGCGGAGACACTCTGGAGTATCAGAAGATAATGAAGCAAGATATAAGGCCAGCGCTGAAAGACATTGTTTGGACTTGGCAAGGTGATCAACCGCAGCCACAGAAGCCACAAGAAGAGCCACCAGAGCTACAGTTTTCTCAAGTGCTTGCTTTGCAGGTTGGCTCACCTCAGAATCCATAACCAATGGATGGTTTAGGTACTGATTATGACTTGTAATTTGCAGTGTTTTTTTCTGAATTATGTTTATGATAATGTCGGTTTTTGCGTCAATTCTTATGCATTCCTAGTTGTTGTAATCTGGATTGGTGGTTGGAGATGATACCCTTTGATAAGTTTTCGATTCCTTCAAGCATCCATATCTTTGTTTTTTCAAGCATGTGAAATACATACACATTTACATACATACGTAAGTACAAGCACGCACACCAAAAAACCCAATTGCTTTCGTTATGTTGTACTTACGATCACAGCTTTTAAAATGTTTAGTTTGGTGAAAGAAAAAAAAACCAAAAGAGAGGGAAAAGAAGGGAAAATAACGAAAAATAGAAAGGTAATTTTAGTACTTTAACTGTCCGATAATGTCTTAAACCATCTTTTTAGAGCATCTTTAATAAAGTTTTTTAATTTAGAGAGTCTATATGGTTAGAGCATTTAGTCAAAAAAGTATGATTAATTTAAAAACTAAATTTAATAATCACAATTATTGAATAGATAATGAATTTTAATAATTAGACTTTGATAAAATTAGAATTGATAATCACAACTATTAAATAGGTAGTGTTTTCCAATAAATACTAAGACCCGCAATTAAATCAACGGTTGTAATTATCATGTCTAACTTTTATGTTCATATAGCATTATTCAAAAAGTATATGCTATCATTTCATTTATTAATTTAATAAAATAGAGAATTGAGTCCAACTCTCTAACGATAGAGAGCCTATTAAAATGAATTTTTAAAGGCCAACTCTGTAAAATAGATTTGCCACGAATGCAAGTCTTTTTCGTCACAGTGCTTTTGAATTTGTGGGTTTATTCACCTAGTAATTGCAAATACCTTCAATGGCATTTCACCTCATTTTTTCATCGATTCTGCATATTAACTCTTACGGTGTATTGGGTTGAGTTGAGTCTAGGTCTGATGAACAAAATTCCTATAGAGGAAATACGTTAAAATTACAAAAGATACGGGGTAATTGCGATCGATTCACAATGACTTTAGGCCAAACAAATATGAGAAGGAACGTAGCATACTACGTTAAGAGTTTCTATACCATGCTACTGGGTTTTACTAAATGCGGCCTCGACACCAGCATGGCAAAACATAAGGAGCCAGACAAGAATGATAGTCAACTACACTCGGCTCCTACTCTAAACCTCGATCTAACCAAAACAAAGCTTTACTGCAAAAGGGTTAAAAATGCTCGAGCTACGTGACACGCTAGAAAACAACGAAATTGGGGGGATGGAGGATGGTTGGGAGAACTGGGTCAGGCTAATAGCATTAACAACTGGACCCAGAAAAAGAAGAGGGAGAGAGAAGGCGGTGAAAAATTGTGTAAACCACTTTTTATTTGGCAAAAGTTTCTTCATAAGCCCACCTGGAATACATGAGAGAATCATGTGACCTTTCACAACAAAGGCAATTTCACATTTGGCAAAATTTTCTCAGCACTGGACTTAATTGCACATTTACAGACACAACGGATAGAGTGGTGGGGCAAATAAAACCTTTCTTAGTTAATCAGCAATACATAGCATACGTAGCCCAGCAGCAGAAGGCACCCAGCCTGTCAATATTGCCATGGTCATAATCCAATAAAACCTACAACATCTACATTAAAATTTTCACCACCTGGTCCACCTGCATCTCATCTAAGTTCAAACAACGTGATACCAGTCCTTGTGCTTTTGTGAGAAAATAGAGCAAAAATACAGGCCCCCATGTTCTTTAAACCATTTTTGTCAATTGAGTCTCTCTCTCTCTCCAGTTATCGCATTAGGTTTTCATAAATGCTAGATTAGACCTACTGCAACTTACAATGAAATGTAACTCCTGCCAATGTCAAATTTCCATTGAAGGGAACCCCTCCCCTGAGAGACACCAGAAACAAAGAAACTTAAACGTTTGTTAATACCGAACTGTTACCTTGTACTGACTTGTGCATGCATGCCACGTGTATTTCTATCATGCTAATGTAAGTAATCTCCCTTATAAATAAGAGAAGGAAGATGTAATGCATTAAGCACTCTAAAGTCACCTACCAAAGAAGGCTGTTTCACTCTTCAAAACAGGAGATGTTTTTAAGTCCCTCACAAACTATGTCATTGTCTTTCTTTAATCATATGACCAGAGTGAATGTTTATCTGGGGAGGAGTATAGACCACCAATAGAGGGCTTTGAGATTGATGAGTTTCCAACGGCCTCCTTTGAACCCTGCCCTGTCCAATCCTTTCTGCAACGACGAGAGTGAAATAAGCACCAGATACCAACTAAAAATTAAAACGAATACTCATAAAAGTTAAAAAGAAGAGAATGCCCATCAATGGAAGGATAATCCTCAATAGAGAACAAATATCAAATCCACAAGACTTTAATCAACTGATATAAGTACAAAAGGCACAAGTTTAACAGATTACTGTTCTATGTAAAATGCAAAGTGGTATAACATGAAATTATTAATGCTCCAAAGGAAAGTTGCAAACAATCAAAACAACCAATCAGGATTTTAAAAAAAAAAAAAGAAAGAAAATCATAAAAGCCAATTAGAATTACAGAAACAAAATCCACAGTTCCATTTACAATTCACAAGTCTAATAAGTGAGTGTCCTCAGATTTCGAATATAAAAGACCCAATCACATACAAAAACTTTCCATCAAAAAGTGCACACCATCATATCATTGCACAGACCCAATAAGCAAGCCTTTTAGGCCAGCCCCCAGGAGAAAGGATCAGACAGATATCTGCAGTACTTGAGAGATATTTATACATAAAACCTGGCTGCTTTGAAGTGCACACTTCTCTCCACGAAGCACAATGACATCTACTGGAAAAGCCTCATTTTCCACAAAAATGAAACAGAAAAAAAAAAAAAATAAATAAGATAGACAACGCCACCTTATACTAGACATAGAACAAAAGGCATCGTGTCTCCCTTCATGAACACCAACACATTAAAAAAGAAAGATGCCACCTCTATTACACTTTCCTGGATGCTGCTTCGCAGATCCACCGGCTAAAATAGCATCCAGATTTACCAACAAAAATATTTTGAAAGGTCAAGTCAAATTGGCTCTTTCAGCAGGAGGTCAACTATATTTAGATTAAAAGGAATAACAGTGATCATCATATTTAATGTTCCATTTTGACAACATGGTAACCTGCGCCCAACACAAAGTGAAACCCAAATTTATTATATACAATAGTTTACATTTCCATACGGTATCAAGCAGTTTTCATGATTAGTTGTTCAAAATATAGTAGCATGAACCCAAGTAGACGTAGCATTCAATTACAATCGCAGCTATATTGTATTTTCAACATTAAACAGTTATTGTCACTACCACCTTAGCTGTTGAAAATGTTGTGACATGAATCCAAGTAGATGTAGCATTCTTTGACAATTGCAACTAAAAATTTCCCACTTAGCCTAAAATACAATTGTCCAATCATAGGTCTGCGGCATAAGGCCTAAGCTTTCATATTAACATACACATTGATAGGTGCATACACTCAGGTAGGCATATGCAGTATAATTGTATCCAATTCTTCACGTCATCTTGCTCAAATGAGATTCAGAGCCCCTGGTGCAATCAAAAAGATTAGACTGAGAATGCCTTAAGTTTGGAGTTTGAAGGACAGTATACCAACATGATATTTTGACCAAATCTATGCACCCCCATTCTGAAAAACTGAATTTGAGCAGCGGAAAGATAACCAAAGTGTGAAAAATTGAACACTTGGAGTTCAGGTGCTCGGAAAAAAGAAAAAACTTATCATGTTAAATTAGGGCTGACCGTCAACCAACCTGCCCAACTCGCGCCTTAACAGGAGATCACATTACCAATGTGCTACACGTTGTTCCTTTTTCTTGTTATTTCCTTCTTTATTTTTTAGCAAGATATCAAAGGTTATTCCCACAAAGAAACTAAATGCAAAATTTGAAGTTTGTTATACGCAGCAAGGAACCAGAGTTCCTACTGCACATGCACTATGACAAACGGAATCTGCATTTCTCATTAATAAGTGGCTTTCAGGTAAAATACAAAGGGGCAACTTGACCAACTTAAAGGAAGGACGGAGCTAATAACAACTTCATAAATGCAAATATAAAGTAAAAATAAAAGTAAAATTGAACAGCCAAACACTAATTGTACCTCTGCTGCAACACATTATTCAATTTAGAAAACCATTAATATTTGGATCTAGCAAGAATTGGATGACAATAACTATAAGGTAGAACAACAAGCTTTTATTTCAGTCTGTCCTTTACACCTTTCAATATATTGAATAATGAAAGAAATTTTACTGGACAGTGTAGGGTGCTTCTAACTGTTAATAATATTCTATGATACCAATAAGTGGAGTCTTTTACGAAGTTTTGCAACGAAACTTGAGAATATATTTCATCTTAGAGAAATTAAGCATGATTACTTGTTCGAATTATCGAAATAAAAAATTCTACTTCTATTATAAGAAATGTAAGGTCCTCATTCAAATTGAAACAATCGAATACACAAAAAACACATGCATACACAGCAACAATTAGTTAATAACGAAAAACTACTATTTTATGCGCGAGTCTGGGATGAACTAGCAAATAACAATGACACATTTCACTCCCGAGAATATATAAATATGGATATACATTTCCAGTTTGTACATTGAGTGTTAGATATGAAATACCTCCAAATAGCAAGATATATTACACAGAAAATAAAAATATCTAAGCATTATTAAGAATGAACTGGTAATGACAGGACTCACAGGAGTGTCAGCAGTTGGCATGCATCAATGACACTAGGTATTGGACATGAAGTACCACGAATGATAAGACATATTAGTCCCTGTGATGACACACACCGATATTTGCGCATCTGACATTGTAAAACTGAAATGGGAGTTCCTTCCCTTGTTTTGGGGGGGATAAATTTAAATATGAGTCAGTCAATGATATTCCATAGATTTTCTTGGTTGGACGTCTTTAGCAGTACCAAAATACAGAAGTGGATTTTAGAAAAAGAGGTTTCAAAAGCATCAACGGAGTTGAAGCAACACTGCACACCATGCATGCATTCGCACATGCACAAGGGTATATCAAGCTTGAGGTAAGCTGAGCAATGGGCAAGATGGTGGTGAGAGGTTGAGAAACATCAAGATAGATGGGATACATTACTCACTGCTAAATGCAAATATTTCTCCCTAGGCAACACATCATCTACTTTATGGAATGACCTACTATAAAAACCCACCAAGCAAAGGTAAACAATAATAATGCGTCAACAATAATGAAAGCCAAGTAAAAGACATAAATTAAAAGATAACAATTATAACTAACGCAGATTCGGATTCGGATTCGATGAGCTACCTGGCCCAAGAATTCGACTCAAATGGATGGTTCAAAGCAGATCCATGCGGACTCCCATAAATCAATTCACTCTGAGGAGTTTCTTCCTGAGAGATAATAGAAAGATGGTTATCGCCACCAGACATCGGCCCAAATAAAGGTCTTGGTAACCATGTATCACTAGTAGGACCAGGCACAGTACTAAATGTCCCACCATTCTGCCTATTGCCAATAACAGCCTTCTGAGGAGAATGCATGCCAGAAAGCATGTGATCATCTTTTTTAAACAGTGAAGCCATAGTTTTCTGGGGTGCAGGATGCACAATATCTTCCTTATTTAATTTGTTCATTTCCACTGGTAAAGTCCAGCTAGCTGGGCCACCTACCAAACCAAGACCATCCTGAACAAGAGGAGAACTATTCCACATCTGCCACATTCCCTTCTCGTTTGCATTACGTGAATCATCCATCGACAAATTGTGCATGTCTTGAGGATTCGGAGAACTTGGAAAAAGAAAAGAACTAGCATGTCGTTCCTCAGAACCTCGCAATCGTGACATTGGAGACTCAATTGGTGATGGCCTGCTGACTTCAGAAGGTGCATGTATATTCTTTAAGGTATGAGGCTTTTCCAACCTCGTGTCAGTTATGAAGCCAAGGTCTAGCTGGAAATTCTCAAGTGACTCCGAAACAGGCCCAAGTAAGGATTTTGGGTCTGGAACATAACACGGATCTTCAAAAATTTCTGACTCTTCTGGTAGGAATTGACGAGGCATTTCTCCAATTCGAGGAAACATGGCTTCAGATGCTAATGGAAGACCTGCACTAACGCTTGTTGAACCATATGGAAAAGTAGATATAGTAAATGGCGACGGCAGTCCAAAACTGATAGGGTTATCGTATGTTTGTGCTGATGGTGGGCGACCAGGAAAAGGGGGGCTTTGAACTTCTGCCTGGGACTTCCCATTTGGTCTACTTATGACATTTACATTAGGGGGTTGAGTTACGGTTGATGAACGAGTAAATAATTGATGCCATGATTTTTTGGGGGCTGTACACGGTTGAGGTTCAATGAGCACCTGCAGTGAAAAAAGAACAACTTAGACACACAATACACACCTCAACAAACCATTACCGCACCATGCTCTCAGTTTCTCGCTCATAGCCCACCATACAACAAAATGTATCCAAAAAATTCATGCAGTTCTGCAAAATCAGTTATTCATAATGTAGTATTCAATCTGGTCAATCAAAATAAGGAAATAACAACAAACAAAACAAAACAAAAAGTTATACCTCATTCAACAAATAACATACATTAGCAAACGTTCAAACTCCAAAGAGACAAAAAAATAGAAAGGCAACTTACAGGATGGGAGATGTTCTTATCATCTCCATTTGTGTTTGATTTCCCAGTTACACGCTCAAGCTGAGATACTTCTCTCTTGTTGGCAGATATTTGGACATGATCAGTCGAGCCATTAGATCTGTGTTCTCTTGAGACAGTAGCCGAAGTATTAGCACCCTTCCCAAAGAAACTACTTCCAGGAAATGCTCTAGAAGAAGACAAAAAGGTACCCCTCATACGATCCAGATATCTAGTTCCAGCATTGCCACGGTTATGATTGTTTGTGTTAGTACCCTTAAACCCATTTCCTGTGTCTGTGCCATGAGATCTAAAACTTTCTGTCCCGGTTCTGTGATATTCACGTCGATCTGTCTCACTGTTCCTATTTGGATCATTACCCTTACTTGGTTTCTTTTCCAGTTCCTCTGCATCAGAATTGCTTTTACTAGATCCCCTGTCTCTTTCCTTCTTTCTTTCTTGATGCTTCTTTTCTGCTTCCTTTTTATTTTCTTTTTCCCTGACAGTTGGAGACCTTTTTCCTCGCTCTTTCTCTGCCTCCATCTTCTGATCCCTCAGTCTCCTACGCTCTTCCACTAACTTTGCTACCTCCTCCCTCTGCTTTCTCTCCTCTTCCTCTAGTATCTCTTTCTCTAACCTAGCCTGTCTCTTCTCTTCAGCTTTTCTGCGAGCTTTCTCTCCTCTACTCTCATGATAATTTGCCTCATTCTCACCTCTCTTATCCAACAAATCTCTGCGCTCGGCATCAGTCAAACTATCAACTCTCGAAGATCTAACTCTAAAAATCTTTCTCCAAACCCAGATAATACCCTGAAAAAAAGCCATCAACACCTTGCAAGCAAACATAACAATGCGAGAATATGATTTCTCAGTTAAACAATGATCGTCCCCACTAAAAAATCCGCCCCCATTCTTCTGCCAATAACTAGACTTCCCAGCAAAAGACCCGCCAACCCAATTCCCATTCTCTAACCAATCTTGCCCACAATTCCAACCATTATCAGACCAAGCCTTCCCATTCAATAACTTCCCACCTTTCCCCACCAAACCCTTAAAAATCCCAGAATTGGAAAACCCCAATCCTGACGGCACAGGCAAGTCCAAAACTGGCCTCTTTGAAATATGGCCACAATATGAACACATAAACTTCCCCCCGCCAGGATTCTGATCCCGATACGGAGTCAAACAATTCCGGCACCTCCGTGTTGCTGTTTTCCTCAACTTCTGCATTTCAATCGCCTCAAACCTCTTCCTCTCCCTCAATCGAGCATTCCTTCTAACCCGCCAAGCCGACAATTGCGGCATCAAAATTTCATACCAAAACAACGTAACCAACAACACAAAAACGCAAGCCAGCCTTGGCGATGTGATTTCAAACCGAAATGCCGGCGGCAATAGCTGAGACAAAGCCCATAATCCAATCAGTGGAATTACTAACCATGGAAGCATGGTAGCAACCCTTCGAGACCACTTCTGAATCACACACAGTATACACATTATCCTCTAGCCTACACCTTTATTTCCCGTGTTCGAATTCCAACCAATTCAAACCCCAAAATTTCAACATATATCAGCAATCACAGCTCTGCAATGTAAAAAAATTGCATATATTAAAAACAGGAAATGGAAAACCCTAGCTTCTACGATTCTCCTCCGAGTCGAATTCGAATGCAATACAATTCCTCCAAACCCTAACGAAGTGATTTGTGTAATAAGACCTAACTTCCAATGCAACAATCGAAATTAATCAGGTTTTGACTGAAAGTGATCGACTTGGGTTTGGGAACGGTGGCGTTTGGGAGCTCCGAAACTCACTACAGAAGAAACGAATAAACAGTGGAATATGAATGTGAGAAAGACTGGAAACTTACAGATTTGGCGTCCATTAACCGGAATATCGGCGATTCGGTTCTGTATCGACTGAGACGGTGGACGTAGAGACGGTTCTTGCAACTACGGGCGAAGATGATGTGATGCTCGAAGAGAGAGAAAATAAGAGAAGATAAGAGAAAAACATGAACAAGGAAAATAAGGGAGGGACTAGTATGCCATTAATATAAGCAATGTTTGAACCGGAGAGTCGGAGTTTGGACCGGTTGGGTTTGACGGGTTCGGGGATCGCAGGGTCAGGGGAGGGATTGTATGTGGATGTGCATATAAAGAGTCTGGTCAAACATGTAATACTGGCGCTATAGGGGCATTCATGTTGTGACGTGGAGCCATGAGTTGACCAATCTAGAAGAGATTGGGAGCTATTTATTATATTAGGGGTGCTAATTTTTGATATGGCACGTTGATATGATACGAACTAAACACGAAATTAATGGTTCAAATATAAAATTAAATAGTCAATGGGTAAAAATGGATCAACACGTTTAAACACGATAAAAATCATGTCGAATTCATGTCAAAATCAAGTCAACCTTAATTTGACCTGATTAACCGGTATATTTTAAAGAGGTTGACATAATTCGGACACAAACCTTACATAACCCATTGTAGACCCGTTTAACCTATTTATACTAGTATAATTTGCCTATTGGGACTTGTTTGGTTGCCGTATTAAAAATGGGTAGATTAGATAAAGTAATACAGTCTAATACAATATAGTTGTATTAAAGATAATATTAAATATGGTATTAGAATATTACGTAATTTTATCTAGTGTTTGATAATATACAATCTAAGCGTTGGATAGTCGTTATTTAATCCAATTGGTTATTTGGTTAGAGAATTATTTCATCGTATTAATGTTGAATTAACAAAATACCTTCAATCAATGTTTGTTGCATTGATGACAACTTGATTTTATCACTTTGAAGGTTATAATAGTAAATGTGTAGAATAATACGTTTAAAATAAATTAAAATACCACATCTTTTGATGATATTAAAAAAAAAAATTATAATACAAGTTTATCGTATATAAAATATACGATTAATATACGTTTTTGAAATTAATAGGATATCAAATTTGCTTACCGAATAAAGTATTAGATCCGATTAATAAAAAATAATACAATTCAATATTTAATCTCCTCATAATATGCCTACCAAACAAGCCCATTATGTATGACTGATGTGATATTTAACATTATTACTTATTAGTTATTATTTCTACTATGGTAATTGACAATATAATTCTTAACATTATTATGACATTATAATAGTATAGTTCTTGCTTTAATTTTTGGTTGAAATTTGAATACATTTTAGTTAATTTCATTGATGAGATGTGATATGTTATGGGTTAAAAAATTATTTGAAATTTTGGATGAATGATTGAATAGTGTAGGGGTGTTCAAATTTTTGATTGACCGTAATTTCCTACCCTATCCAACTCTATCCTACCCTATTGAACGACTAACCACAAAAATCGAATAGAAATACGAAAGAGTTTTTGGTCTTATAATAAAATTAGGTAGGAATGTAGAATAGCCATTAATTTCTACATTTCTACCTTACCATACCCACATTAATTAATTAATTAATATATATATATATATATATATATATATATATATAT